ATATTAACAACTAGACCAATAGGCCACACATATCTAAACACATAAGAAAATTATATTAAATGAAGTTACACACTTAGATACATTGTCCATGCTGGATTACAATAGCTCTTATTCAATATTGTACTGGAAAATTTGGCCTGAGTAATTTCACAAGAGAAAGAAATAAAAGGGATAGAAAGAGGAAATGAAAACATCAAATTATCCCTGTTTGCAGAGGACATGATTCTATTGCTACAATATATGGGATCTGGCTATGTGTATGTGGGGAAGATAACATGATAAAAGAGCAAAGACATTAGGGAAGGCAAAGAGCTCCAGAGGAGAATTAGAGAGGGGAATAGGAGTATGGATATGATCAAAGCATATTACAGGCATGTCGACAAATGTCATAATGAAACACATTATTGTATAAAATTAGTATGTAGCAATAATTGTGACAAAGAGAAAGAAGTGAAAGAAAGACAGAAAAAATGTAACACATGGTGTTTCTCACAAGCCTGAAAATGTATGGACCATGCTGCTTATTCTGTTAATGGAGGCCTGACATTTCTGGAAGGGTTACATAAAGGATTGTGGCATCTGTAAGACTGAAGAAAATAGAACATTTCACTCCAAAGAGTTTTACTTTATAATTAGTAACGTGGTTGACCTTGAGAAGTGGGGACACTTAGGGGGAATTCATAGATGCTTACTTGGAAAAGTAGACATAATATGCCTGTGTTCATCAACGTATGTATGTAATTGCTTAGACAGGCAGAGACCTGGCTTTCCAAGCCATCACCAGACCCTGGGATTGCAGGATCTTCTTCCATGCTGTCTGCACATCCTTGTTTCTCAGGGTGTAGATAAGTGGGTTGAGCACTGGGGTGATGATGCAGTAGAAGAAGGACAAGAACTTGGCCTGGGAACTCTCAGCTGGTGGACAGAGGTACATGGAGAGGCCTGGTCCAAAGTACATGGTGACCACCACCAAGTGGGAACTGCAGGTGCTGAGTGCCTTGTGCCTTCCTTCAGCTGAAGGCAGTTTCAGTATAGCCCTGGCAATGAAGGTGTAGGAGATGACCACCAGCAGGGCGGGCATCATTCCAAAGGAGATGTCTAGTACAGTCAGGGCTAGGACATTAGCAGTGGTGTCCCCACAGGCCAGCTCGATGAGCACAGGCACCTCACAGAAGAAGTGGTCCAGGGTGTGGTGTCCACAGAGGGGGAGCTGGAGGGTCATTGTGGCTTGGAGCAGAGAACTGGCCAGGCCACCAGACCAGGAGGCAGCTGCCATCCTCACATAAACCCAGGAACGCATGATGAGAGTGTACTGGAGGGGCCGGCAGATGGCCACATAGCGATCAATGGCCATCATGGCCAGTAGGATGCATTCAGTGGTGCCCATCCAGCTGAAAATATAGGCCTGTGTGATGCAGCCCCAGGCAGCAATTGCCTTGTCTAGCCCCCACAGGTTGGCCAGCAGCTGGGGCACAGTGGTGCTGGTGAGACCAAGGTCCAGCAGAGAGAGGTTGTCCAGGAAGAAGTACATGGGTGTCTGGAGTCTGGGGTCCACCAGGGAGAGGAGGATGATGGAGCTGTTCCCCACCAGGGTGAGGAGGTAGGAGAGGAGGACCACTGCAGAGAGGGGCCTCTCCAGCCACGGAAACTCTGAGAAGCCCAGCAGGACAAAAGTGTTGGGAAAACTCATGTTTTCCCTTTCCATGGCATCTGTCTTTAATATATGGCTGGAAGTAAAGAGACAGTTTTTTGAAAATAAATATGGCTTTTCTATGTCTTTTCCCCTTTTCCTTTTTTATTAGTATATGTTACAATGTTTAATAGTTTTACATGCAGCTTCATACCCTATGAACATTTTCTTCCTTAAAGAGGGCATCAAATAAACTTTATCTGAGGCAACATTTTCTCTTTTCTTTTGTTCCAAATTTTTCTTATGATGACATAAAATTTATCCACTCAAAAATTTTTAAACATGCAGCTCAGTAGTATTAAGTACATTGATAATGGGAAATTGAGAAAGAAATAAAAGGAATAAAGATAGGAAATGAAGAAGTCAAATTGTCATTATTTGCAGAAAAGACATGGAAACAAGGCTTAAACAGAAAGTAGGGAACTGAGATGGGCCACATCAAGCATCTTGCAAGGACAACCAGCAACTAGGATTGTTGGTATTTATCATTACACGGGTGTGGTGTGTAAGAATAGGGTAGGGGCTGTGTGTGGCATCTGATAATATCAGCTGACACAGGCAAGGCTTGTGGAAAGGAGGATAAGGCATTCTTGCAAAGGAGCAGAACAGACCAAAGGTAGGTTGTGGTTAACTAGTGAGATACTGAAACAATTAAGGGCAGGGTAGCACTATGAATGGAATGTGGCTTGGAGCCAAAGGTCCTTGGCCATAGTGTTATCTCACTTCAGAGCTCTGCAGTGTCACAAATCAGGATTTAGATCTCTGTGACTGCCATTGATGGGGGAACTGTATTAGCCCGTGCACCATTTAACATGCTCCTGTGAGTCACACTGGCTTTGGTCTAGCTCTGAATGCAATGTAGCCAATTCTAAGGAAAGAATATTTGCTCCATATTACAGCCTGCTCTGACTTTGTTCAAGGGGGGGTCTCCTGCTACATTTGGGTTCCTGGCAAACACATGAACAGACTGAGGGTGACAGGATGAGGAATAACATTCCAAGCAAATGAATTCCATATGCAAGCAGGAGTAGCTACACTCATATCCGTTGAACCAGACTTCAAGCCAAAACCGGTCAGAAGAGACAGTTAAGGTCACTGCATATTGATAATGGCAACATTCCATCAAGAACAATAATGGCATGTTAATATGCATGGAATGCCAGAACACACAGTTATAAAACAAATGCTACAGGACATAAGGGGAGATACAGGTTGTATTGCCAAACCCAGAGCTAATAATATACCGAATGGAGGAGAGTTGAAAGATTTCCTCTAAACTCTGGAACATGACACAGATATCCAATCTTACCACTCTTATTCAATACTGTTTTTAAATTTTTATCAGTACATATTTGCATTACATAATGATTACATTTATTGTAGGGAATTGGAACACATTCGTAACATATCTCAATTCTTTTTTCCACTTCCTTCCACCTCCTTTTCTTTTTCTAGAATTTGATTTATTTATGTATCCCCTTATAATTATCATATACATATTAACATATATTATCATATACATATTAACAA